GCACACGTCCGTTCCGTGCGCATGCACGGTGCTTCATGGGCGCTTTGCCGCGCGCGCGGGGGTGGGTTGATCGGGAGGAGCCAGGAAAGAGGGAGCCGGCCGGAAGCCACCGGGCCGGCGATCGACCGGGGCGCCGAACAGTTGGGCGCGCCGTACGTAGCGCCGCATCATGCATTGCATGCATGCATGCATGGTGGCTCGAAAATCACATGAAGCCATCCACATCGAGGCACATGTAACATGCGATTGGTCGCGAGTTAACTAGCTGGAGTACGCCTCAAGGCAGCAAAGCAACGGGAAATCAACGTGCGGTTCCTGCAACTGGTTTCCGTGCCTGATGGCCAGCTCGGTCGGAGACACGGCACGTACGCACGTACGGCGGTGCAATGCGTACAAGACGTGCGTACGCGCACGACGATGCCGTGCTGCACTGCACTGCAATCAGTGCGGGCCCATACAGCAAACCGACCGATATCGATCCCTAATTTTAATGTGTCCTGTCCATCTGGTCGTGTGTGTTAAATCACACAACCATCGTACCGATCGTATGCTTTTGGTCCTAACAAAGAGCATCTCTAGCTCGTTTCCTCTAAAATTTAACTCCTCGAATCACCACCTAGAGATCAACTAGAATGCGGCGTCAGATTTTTAAGCACGGCAAATCAAATGTTTCTTATAGCAAAGTATGTTGCCACGAGGATGACAATTTTCTTTGACAAACTCGGCGATTCCTGACAAAAAAAACTGAACATAGCAAGGATCCGCCATTGTTTGCTAAAGGAAATTGTCATCCTCATGTTATGGTTGTTATGAAGCTTCTAATGAATTTTGTTTGGAGAATTGTCACCCATGCTTAATGGTTGAATATGAAATTTGTATGAAAATGGTTTTTTCCTTATCTGTAGTTCCATACATAACAGGGTTGTGTTTTTTTCACTTTACGTGAACTATTATAATTTAAATATTTCTAGATGTGACATGAAGTTCATTGAATTCTTTTGTTGAAATTTTCCTCCATGATTAATGGTTTTATACAAATTTGTACGAATAATGGAATTCTATCAATTTTCTTGTATGTAATACTCCCTCCGTCCCATAATATAAGAACGTTTTTATTATACTACACTAATGTAAAAAACGTTCTGCCGACGGAGGGAGTACCATATATAATAGTGTTTTGACAAACTCATTGATCATTAAATTTAAAATAAATAAACGGCGCATCAGTATATATGAGGCGAGCAACTTGGCAACACATGGTTGATACAACATACATAAATTAAGAAACATAGTGCATGGGTTAAATTTTGATGGAATGTTACGATTATGTTACCGCGCTCTGCAGTGAGCATGCATGCCACGACATGTGGCTTGAATTGATGTACTTACTACTACTACTAGACGTTAATAACACCGTGCTACGGAAGCAAGGGTTGTTTCAATTCCCCGCTGATCACAGCTCGATGTACCAATGTTGCCGTGCATGTTGAGAGGTTATCACGGCGCGTGCATGTCCCCTAAGCTACCCAGGGCAAGCCAGGAAGAAGCCTCCGTCTTGCCCTTCTTCTTTGGCGGCGCCGGCTCCTCCTCATGATGCGCGTACGGCGGACCCTCGGGGGCGGGGGCGGGGGCGGCGCCGGCGGACCTGTCCTTGCGCTTCGACAGGAACCGCTGCAGCGACGCCTTCCTCGCGATCGGCATGTCGACGAACGCCGGCGCGGGCGGCTGTGCGACGGGCGCTCCCTGCGAGGCCGCCGCCGCCGCGGCGGCGAACCGGATCAGCTCGGCGGCCCTGGCCGGCGTGCAGCCGTCGAGCACCACCACCCTCCCCCCGTAGAAGATGGTCAGCTCCTGCGCCCCGTCCGCCGGCGAGCCGGGCTCCTGGAGGGCGGCCCCCAGCACGCCGGGCGCCGAGACGCCGGACGCCCTGACGTACTGGCTGAGCACGCCGCAGGCCGAGGCGAAGCGGCGCGCCGCGGAGTCGGCCGCAGCCGCCGTCGCCGTCGTGGTCGCCATCGGCGGCATCGTCGCCTGGACGGACGTGCGGGCTAGTGGGCGAGGCGAGGCGAGGCGAGGCGAGGCGAGCCGAGCCGAGACGAGAGAGAGGGAGGGTTTCGGTGGCGATCAATGGCGTTCGCTAAGCTCTGCGCACCAACCGCGGTCGCCGTTCGATCGATCGAGTTCGTGGACCCCGTGTTATATAGATGGACGCGGCAGGAGGCAGGGGAGGTGGAGACGAGACGGGACGAGACGAGGAGTTGGTTGCCATGCAGTTGAGGGAGGGAGGGAGGGGCGGTGCGGCGTGGCGTGGCGTGGCGACCCGATGGTGGTTAGGGACGGGCGGGACGTGAGGGAAAACGTGGGCGGTTGGCCGGCCGGCGCATGCCGCGCGCGGGCGACACGGCGAGGCGAGGGGGCGCTGGGGAAGGTGGCGGATCGACCGCGCGAGCGCGCGACGCGCGTGCGTGAATTCGGAAACGGGCGCCCTCGCGCTGGCGCGACGACCAGCAACCGTCTCCTCCTTCCCGTTTCGGGCCTGGCAGTAAAAAAACGAGAGGCTGTGATGGACTGGGCAAGGCCTCTGGCTGGCTGGACGAGTGGCCCGAATCCGTCGATTCACATCGGATGGACGCCGAAGCTGCGTGATTAACCGCGTGCCCGCTACGTTTCTGCCTCGTGCGCCGGGGCTGAAAAAAGGGATAGGGTTCCTTTCTGCGAATGTGTCGCGTGTGTTGTGGGCGATGGAAATGCTCAGATCGAGATAAGCGCTGCTTTTATCCGGTTGGTTAATTAGGGTCCCCGCCCCGCTGTTTCCCCTTAACCAAGGATAGCAACACTCCTAAATAAAAGTGTTCCTTGGAAGAAAGCAAACAAAAACATGGGAGCCACATGACTGTTTTGGCTTTGTGGCACGTGCATCACTTCTTTCACCACAACATATACCGCAAGAGCTTCTCGCATCCTCCCATCCCAGGAATCAACTCGTGGAGCTGAAGGCTACTGTACACCGCAGGTATCCCAACACGGCCAAACCCGCGCATGCGCTTTAGGCGAGGCGCCACGTACACTGCACATTATTAGCTCCGGCACGGGCCATTTCCTCTTCCGGCTACGAACCCGACGCGCTGAAACAACACTGCCTTCATAGCGAATCTGCACGATTCTTCTCCATTTCTCCCCGCGTTCGAGCACCCGACGCGCCCCACGGCCGTCGGGTAGCCCGAAGGAGCAGGTAGGCTGCCCCCGTACGTTCGGCGAAGCCAACTTGTGTCGTTGTGCGTCCGTCGATTCTCTCTCTAGCTAGCCAAACCGTGCATACTACTTTCTCCGTTCTGAATTACTTGTCATAGGTATGAATGTATGTAGATGTATTTTAGTTCTATATATATTCATTTTTGCGATGAGTAATTTGAAACGGACGAAGTACCATCGACCGAGTTGGACGCGGTTCCTTCCCTTTGGCTGGCTGGCTAGCTAGCTTTCGGTAAAGAAACTTACTAGAAAGGCACTACGGGCGACTGGCGATCACGCGGCCGAGGACACGGGGGAGGCAACCACTCCTCTCCACGCGAGCTTTAGTAGCTAATCTAATAGCCGATCCCTCATGTGCGTGCATGATTAGTCGCGGGACGTCTTGTCTTAACATAATGTGCGCGAGCTCATCTACGCGACGTAGGACAAATAGGATAGTACGATGCGGCCAAACCGATCCCATTTGTCTATGCAGCCATGCTTTGCGCTCGGCTGTTGGGGGCCATTATCCTACCATATCGTCGAGCGCAGGACGTCGTGCACGCACTCGCCTGCAGGATCGGCCGATTCCCTGTGCATCCCGCGTGGTGCCTTCTCTATTCTGGCTGCCGCCGCGACGACTTGCACGCGTCAACGACGAGAACTAAGCGTCGCCGGATGCATGCACGAAGCTTATGGCTGATTGCGCGCGTGGCGGTGCTATGCAGTGTCGACGGGCGTGCCCACGTGTCGACGACGATACGTGTGCGTGTGGCGGCGTCGGGGCCGACCTTTGGTAGTCGGCCATGTACGTCAAATCGTGCCGCTACTCCTTGAGTTCGTTCGTGCGTTCCCATGCAAGTCGGAGTGTGGGACTGATGGATGGATTCGATGCCCCGCGGCTTTGTGCTGCTTTCACACTTTCTTCGCCCCAAGTACAGCAGAGAATAGCTTGGCGTGCCGTGCCTCGCCGCCTTTGCACGTCCCCTGCATGACATTGGCTCTTTACGTATTGATCATCGTGCCGATTAATTAAACTACGTACTGCTTAGACACTTCTTAGTCCTTCTCTTTTGTTGCGAGCATGTGCTGATCACTTTTGCTAACTTGTCCTGGACTGGACTCCTAGGCACTAGCCAGTCACCACCTTTCTTAAGTGATCGCTTTTAATGGATTATTATATTTTTCAACTCGCCCACCTTTTCTAATTGATCGTTCTAAATTCTTTTGTATTACTCCCTCCGTTCCGAATTACTCGTCGCGGAAATGGATGTATCTAAAACTAAAACGGAGGGAGTACTTTTCAACTAGAAATACCTTTGCCTTCTACTCCCTCCGTTCTAAAATAGATGATTCAACTTTATACTAATGTTAGTACAAAGTATGATTAGTACAAAGTTGAGTCATCTATTTTGGAACGGAGAGAGTATTGCATAGTCAAGCAACGCAAAAAGAAATGGGTGCGGCTAGGTCCCAGTCGACTAAAAGGCTTAAGCAAGTCTCAGTCAAATGATATAGTATGTATGAAGAAAAAAAACTGAAAAGAAATTTTTTTTTGCATGAATCTCCATGCAAAATCAAAGAAAGATAGTATCGACTGTAACATAAAGAAATGTCTCAATGGACGGAGACCTAGTAAAACCGGGAAGAAAACAAGCAACGCAGCTATACCATGGAAAAGAAAAGGAAGAACATGTTCAAAAAAAAGAAAAGAAAAGAAAAGGAAGACACAACCCCCGACGTGGCCAAGAAAAACCACCAGGGGAGAGTATAGGGGCCCCACCACCAGCCCACGACCCGCGCTGCACACTGCACGCGCAACCGTGGCCTAGCAAAACCGGCCGCCGAACTCAACCCCGAAAACGTACAGAGCCCAGGCATTTCTTCCACCACCCCCTTTCGTCGCTCCACGCCACCACCGCCACCAGGCCGCGCACATGCGCAGCACCCCGCAAATACACGCCGACCGGCTGGCCGATCGGCGAAAACCCACGGCGAAATTGGGCGAGACGTGCGGTGCTGGGAGACGGACGGGCCTTCCGCTCCCATCCATCCATCCATCACTCCTCGTCCCGTCGCCTCCCGGCCGGCGCCTTTCACGTGCTGCTTTCCTCTCCTGCCCGCGAAACAGAAATTAGGCCTCGCCCAGCTGTACACGCCCGCGAAAAGGAGAGAGCGCGCCGGGATTTAACCCCGCGACTCACCCGCCCCCCGGCCGGACGGGCAAACACACGTACATACCTCGGCACCGCAGGTCTCATCGTTTCCTTCCGCTGGAGATCGACATGGGAGCCGAGCAGCAGCACCAGGCCGCCGGGGGCAGCAGGTTCGCCGTGGCGTTCGGCCTGCTGCGCCAGTACATGAGGGAGCAGCCTGGCGTGGTCACCGTGGGCCTCTCGCCGGGCGGCGGCGACGGCGTCGAGGCGGTGGCGCCCGAGCAGCGGATCCGGACCATGGAGCTCTTCCCCCAGCAGGCCGGCACGGTCAGGGGCTCGCACGAGAGGTACGTCTTTGCGCGCCAGCCACACCTTCGTGCCCGCCGGGTGACCGGAGAACGTCCTCGAAACGTCTTCCCATGGAGTTCTTGGAAAATATTCACTCCTGGTTGATGGATGCTAACGCTGTTGCTAATCAGGACGGGGCCTGGGAGAGCGCCGCTCACCATCTTCTACGGCGGGAGGACGTTCGTGTTCGACGACTTCCCCGCCGAGAAGGCCAGGGAGCTCATGCAGCTCGCCGGCTCCTTCTGCGCGCCGCCGCCCGCCCCCGACGCCGAGCCCGCCTGCCAGAACGCGCCGGGGCAGCCTTGCTTGTCAGGTACGGATCGCGCTACACTCGTGCTCGGTCACCGTCCGTATTACTCCCTCTTTCTAAATATTTGTCTTTCTAGACATTTCAAATGACTACTACATACGGATGTATGTAGACATATTTTAGAGTGTAGATTTACTCATTTTGCTCCGTATGTAGTCATTTATTGAAATGACTAGAAAGACAAATATTTATGAACGGAGGGAGTAGATACAAATACAACCAACTGACAAAAACATGTGTCGTGCGCGCGCGCGGTTGTGTAGACCTGCCGATCGCGAGGAAGGCGTCGCTCCACAGGTTCCTGGCGAAGAGGAAGAGCAGGCTCACCGCGGCAGATCCGTACCCGGCGCCGTTAGCGGCGCCGGGGGCCGGGGCGGCCAAGGAGACGGCCGGCAAGGCTGCGCCGGAGGACGGCGGCGCGCCGTGGCTCGGCGTCAACCCCGCGCTCCAGCTCAACTGAAGGATTTGATGAGCCGGGGAGAGGAATAAATCACTGCCTCACTGCTTCTCCACGTAGTACTACTAGTACTATGTACTGCTACGTGGATCCTTGATTGTTGCCGTTTTTATCTTACGCCCGTTAATTGGCTGCGTCAGGGCAATCAACTGCATGGCGCTGGCTAAATATATATAGCACGTATGTTCTTCATCTGTTTGAGAATTCTTTGGTGTCGAATAAAAGAATTCTTTCATGCTGAATTTGTTACTGTATGCGAGTATACTACTAATTACGTAGCTTAGATTTGTATAAGCTGTATTAAATGTAGTGATGGTGCGCAATATTGTTACTTTTACTGGTTATTTTTTATGTGTTAGTGTGAACTATTAACGTTTGCTCGTTAGATCGTTGGGTCATGTATCTTCATGAGAATATGTGAAAATTGAGAGAACTACATTTCACACATGTCTTGTGCTGCCCGCACCCGTGACTTGGATGGCGAACCTAGCAGCCACCGAACACTCCCCTCCCTCGTCATTTCCTTCTTCGCCACCATTGGGGCAAAGCTGGAATGGTGGAAGGTGTTGATTGGGCTTCATTCTCGTGTAAGCTATGCTAGGGTGGCGACAACCCTTCTTGTCATGTCTTTGGAAGGGCAGCGGAGGGCAGCGATGCCACAATGATCTTCCTAGGTGGTGCAATGATCTCCTCTATCGTGACATATGCGGTAGGGGCCGGTCGGGTAGCGTTACTACATGTCGGTTTTATCTTACGCCCGTTAATTGGCTGCGTCGGGGCAATCAACTACATGGCACTGGCTAAATATATATAGTACGTATGTTCTTCATCTGTTTGAGAATTCTTTGGTGTCGAATAAAAGAATTCTTTCATGCTGAATTATTTACTGTATGCAAGTATACTAATTACGTAGCTTAGATTTGTATAAGCTGTATTAAATGTAGTGATGGGGCACAATATTGTTACTTTTACTGGTTATTTTTTATTATGTGTTAGTGTGAAATATTAACAGTTGCTCGTTAGACTGTTGGTTCTTGTATCTTCATAAGAATATGTGAAAATCAAGAGTTCACCCATGTCTTGTGTCACCCACACGGGTGACTTGGATTGCGAACCCTAGTCGCCACCGAGCACTCCCCGCCCTCATCATTCCCTTCTTCGCCACTATTGGGGCAAAGCTGGAATGGTGGAATGTGTTGATTAGGCCTTCATTCTCGTGTAAGCCATGCTAGGGTGGCGACAACCCTTCTTGTCATGTCTTTGGAAGGGGAGTGGAGGGAGGCAATGCCACAACAATCTTCCTAGGCGGTGCAACGATCTCCTCTACCGTGACATATTTGGCAGTGGTCGGTCGGGTAGCGTTTCTACACGTCAGTTCTGGTTAGGGGTGAAACGGGAGCCTTAGCTTCGGTTTGTTGGTTAATACTTCAAAGTTTATTAGTAATTTGGATAACAATATTTAAATGGTTTGATTATCCGGCTAGAAATAGGATGTTCCTATATCTTCGTATATTAGAAATGCCATGTCCTATATAGCCTATCCTAATTTCCCACACGAATCGTGGTCAGATTGTGCTCAAATGTCTTACCATGTATGGACTAAAAAATGATTATGATCGAAAATGACCCTAACCACTTTCACCCTTAGTTCCAGTTTCCTCAAGGTTGTGGGCCCGAGTTGGGTGGTGGTGGTGCCTTGATGTCGCCCCCTCCTTGAAGGCGTCGTTTTTAGTCCATTGTTCTATGCTTCTCTCAGGGTTATGTGGTGGTGGGGTGCTATTTGGTGATGGTAGGGTGTGTTGTAGACCTGCAGCGAGATGTGCTCTTTTGACTGAGGCAGTGACGGAACCAGGCTACCACCGGGCCCCAAGTCTGCTTCATTGCTACAGTGATCAACACTG